ATCGAGGTACTATGGTATCTTGTGCTTTAGGGCGTTCCTAATAACATCTGTAGAAGACTTTCTTCCCTGTTAATCTCTTGGACAGCCTTCAGGGCTTTTTGGGAATATGCTGCAGCTCTGCTTTCCAACTGTCAGTCCATCTCAGTCTTTACGTCTGCGTCAATTCTTTTGCTTCTTTCGTGCATGAATTTGTATTTCATGATGGTTCACTTAAAATAATAAAATAAAAAGGTGACTATAAAAATGAGGGAGGAATTGAGAATGAAAAGAGCGTAGTTTAATTATTCTGAACTGAAATTTCAGACCCATGAACTCTTCCTTGGGATCTTCAGGAGCATTGTAGACTCATACTTCTGTTTGGTGGCCAGGGTCCCTCACATACAGGATTTAAACTAAGCTTGCACACACGGAATTATTTTAGTGTTCTCATATTTGAAGATAAAACAAGAGACATCCGAGCAAATGTGGGTTTTTGGAAGGAGCGTTGCAGTTCTAGCTGTAGGCACTTTAAATGTGACTGTTTTGCAAAGAAGATACCTGGAAAAAGCGAATATGAATATAGTGGCGCCAGACTTGGAACCATTATTCTGTGTTGTAAACCAGGCTCTCCTGAACTCAGGAGACTCTCAGCCAGTTGAGAGAGTTGTGGAGGTCGAGGAGATTTCCACACTTCGGTTCACTTTTATAATCTTTCCAAGTTTTGTCGTGCCATGTCAGTTGCATTGCCTCTAAGTGCAGCTCTTGCATCAGTCATTTGAGGTGGCTTAGTGCTCGCTACCAGTCTGTCTTTGTCATTCACTTGCTGCGTCTCGGTTGGTTGGTAAGTTGCTTGCCTTTTAAACTAAGAATGCTTAAAAGGATCTTTCCTAAACTTCCCATTACACAATCCTAAGCCCTTTATTGAACAGTGTCATACATTTGAAGGTATTCCTCTCCAAAAAGACTTACCCTTTGCCATTCAACTTTGAGAAACTGCCCAGGAATATTTAACCATTAACTCAGAAGTCAGAAGTCAGTGTCACTGGTTGAAATTGCTGCTTTGGCTTCTGTGAAATATGAGAACTTCAGAACAAAAAATGGGTTGACTTTGCAGTTGCCCATGGATGCTTGTGTCTCGGCAGGCGTTACTGCATCAGTCGGGAGTTACTGCTCTAGTATCTTCTCTCATTGGCTTCCGAGCTCCTTTCTGAGTTATGGGCCACTTCCTGGAAACGAGTGAACCTTCTTTCTGACTTTCACGCCCTCCTTTGAAATTGCCCCCGGAAAAGTGAGCGCTGGCTGGCTGTGCGGAAGCAGATAACTTCCCTGGGCTGTGACGGGGCCGCAGCATCACAGCACCTCCATTGGTTCCTGCGCCTGGGTTTATCCAAGGGTTGGGGCTGCACTGCGTCTCCTGTGCTCGCCTCCCACTGCCCCTGAGCCCCTCCTGCCCCTGGAGAGACCAGGACAGCCCGCAGAGCGATGGGCTTGTGTGGAGGTTGGAGCCTGGAGCGACCCTTCCTGCTGATGGTATAGAAGTTACTGGCACGTCACCACGTCATAATTTTCTCCTTGTCTCTGCCACAGGCCGGAGGCATAAACTGGTGTCGGGTAGATGACGGTGGCTTCTGAGAGCATAGTCGGGGACAGCGCAGTGGGACAGTCTGCTGTTTATTTCTTATGCCTACTTAGGCGTACTGGAAAGCCTTTGCAGAGGTTAGCTTTGTACTTTCTGAAAAATTGTGTGGACAGAGGAGGAAAAGCTGTGAGTGAAGGGGGTGAGTGCCACACACCTGCATCAACATGAGACCAGGACGCAGGCCTCAAAGCTGAGGAGATGACAGCCGCACGGGCTGTTGTGGGTCTGTTTCTTCCTCCCTGCCTTGCATGTAGTAGTCTTCTGTTTTTGAAACTGTCAGAGTGACCCCTTCCAACAGTGGCCGGGCTCTCCGAGCTCCAGCCCCCAGCCCCTCCTTTCCCCGACTCACTCACGTCCAGGTCCTCCCTCCCGGCGCAGCGTCTCCACAACCGCACTGTGCAAGGCTGCAGTTTTCAATGCGTGCTTTTTAAAAATAATTAAATCGAGCAGTAGGTGTAAGTCAAGATAACGCACTGAAATGTTACATAGAATAGGCCCAGCACAGACCCATTGTGTAATAGTAAAACTCCAGTCAGTTGGAGATTTTTTAAAGCAGTTTGATCAGTATACCTGTCATTGCTCTTAACCGTCTTTACATCCATGTAAGATATCTAGATGATAGGAAAACCGTTATGACTTATGGATTAACAGCCTCCTAAAATCTGGTATGCTGTTTTCTAGGCTGTAAGAGAAAAAACCAGCATGTTCTCCTTGCCCCTTCCAGTGACAGAGTAGCTGGCCTTTCTGCTCCTCAGTCCCCAGAAATAAATGCAGTGGAATGGGGTTTATTTGCGCAGAGAGCAGCCTCATGCTACGGGACTCTTCTTGTGGACCCGCCTCAAGTATAGAAAAATGCTTCATTTTCATTCTTATTGGAGGGGTGATAAAATTGATAAGCCTCTGGAGAAAAAGGAATTTGGAAGTTTGGTACAGATCTGGGAGGTTTTTCTTTTTAACCTTGTGTACAGTGAAGTGCTCTTATAAAATGTTTTCATTCAGAGTGTTTCAGGGGAGTGTTAGCAAGAATAGAGAACTTTTTTTTTTTTAGACAAATTTGACTTTAAATCATCGTGCGTGCATGCTAGAGGCCCTGTTCTAGCTAAGAAACAAATTGATGTTTGTGAGTAACACCCAGACAACGATGTAGAGTCCTAGCATTTTGATTGTGAAGAGTTCTCAGATCCTTTTGGAGATGGAAAAACTAAAAATCAGGGGAGGATCATTAACTGGACAGCAGGATCCATCCCCACAGGGGATCTAGCATCTCTAGATTCTAAGTCTTTTCCACTCGTGCAAGTTGGTAGAAGCTAACCTCTGTTTATGTTATGGCTAAATGGTACACAAACAGATGTTTTGCAAGTACTGATTTTTTTTTTTTAAATCATTCTGTTAAATCCTGTTTGGACTGTCAGTTGTTCAGTAGTCTGCCCCTATCTCTTCTCTTTCCCTTTAAACAGTAAATTTTAGTTTTATCTCTTTTATGCAGAATATTGGAACTTTTAATTTGTAAGTTAAATGCGAACTTTGTTAGTTAAATGTGAACTTCGTTTTATTTTGATTAGGAGAATTATGGGATTTTCAGACAGAAAGAGATTGTAGCAGTGATGCTGTACTACCCACTTGATGTGGTTGATATATAGTAAATCTGTTAATGAGTTGGAGGGTAAGAAGGTGCTCATATGCCAGAGAGATAAAATATTAAGATAAAACATAATTGATATTATAGAATTATATACTGCTTCAGGCTGTCATCTTGTTCATAAAATAGATTTCCAAGGTGGTGGTGTTTCTTAGTAATGGTTGAGACTAGGGATGGTGGACCTTTCAGAACTTTCAATGACACAGACAGCTTGCTGCAGCCTGTATGCCATAGGTTCGCCACGGCTGGTTTAGAGTATAACAAAACGATAAGGGATTGTTTTCACTTGTGATTTATAAATCTGCAGAAAACCTGGTTTGGTATATCAAAGTGTCTGATATATATCACCAGCTCCCCAATCCTTTAAAAACAACCACCAAAGAAATCATGCTGGTCAGACCCCCTTTGCAGTGTTATTTTTCCTCCTTTAGGAATGAATGAGCTTGCTTCGCCCTGTTGCTTGCCCTGGTGTACATCTTGACAGCGGTGCGGCCTCAGCTCAGTCTTTCCTTTTTTAAGCTTTTTTTACAAAGTAAAGCGAAAAACTTAAAAACACTTGTTTCTTAAATAGTCTGCATTGGCTGCTATCTTGTAGCGAGAGAACCCTCCTGAGAAGGAGTTGATTGATAATTTCTCTGTCGAGCAAGGAGTGTTGACAAAGAAGATTGTGCACCTGAAGAAAGGTCTCTTGTGCTCTGTAATCCTGTCTTGTTTGCTTGATAGAACAGTAGCATGAAGTATAACCAAAGAAATGGTAGATGTAAGATTTCACTTTTGCTAAAACATGATTGAGAGCTGGAAATGAAATGGTTAGGTTCAAAGGTAAGCAAATATTGTTACTCGTATGACCATTATAGTCTTTATTATAGAAATAGTTTGGCTATTATGTTGACTGTAGAACTTTTTATTTGTTATGAATTATTGGGCATTATTCGGCTGTAATGCTTTGTAATGTCCTTTTTTTCTTTTTTTTTACATTGTCAGCTTGTATTCTTTTTCTAGTAATACTGCTTTCATAGTATGCATTATAGTGATTAATTTGACAAAACTAAAACTCATTAAACCTTTTCATTCTGTACATGGTGATTAAAGTATAACAGTTCTAAGGAAAATAGTCTTATGTAACAAAAAGGAACACATAGGTACCAAAAGGCTTTTTTAAAATTTAGTATATGCAGCAGGGGGCACCAGATGAAGGCAAAAATGAATTCTTAAATTTTAGATCAGCGATAGTCTGTATCCTGTTCATGTATTAGTAATGTGGTAGATGAGTCTTTATCCTTGGTTTTCTTGATTGTTTCAACTTCCAGGTCTAAAAGCTGTACCGAAGAAGAGATTGATAACTATTCTTGCTCCTTAACCCAGATAAAATATCTTACATCTAACTGGTGTAGTAATTACACAAATTTTTCTTTAAACATTTACTGCTTTTAGAGTTTTAATAAGAAGTGCAAGAACAACATTTAATGATTGCTTGTTTAGAACAGGGTGTTAACATTGGGTTTTTAACACCTTTTCACAAAATAATCTTTTCACTAGTGAATAAAGGAAAGCCCCAGTATTTGAAATGATTTGGAAGTTTGATTTTGTTACGTTGATATGTGAACCAAATATTTTAAAATCTGGAAGCCTGTTCCTCATAGCTACTAAGTAGTTACGTAGAATTGTTTCTGAAAAACTTGCATTTAATATTGGTGGCATGAAGTAGTTTTTCCCTTTATTCCTGTCTTCTGTGTTATCCAGTCCAGTATCAGATGGAAATGATGCGGAGCCTTCGCCATGTGAATATCGACCATCTCCACGTGGGCTGGTACCAGTCTACATACTATGGCTCCTTCGTCACCCGGGCGCTTCTGGATTCTCAGTTCAGTTACCAGCACGCCATTGAAGAATCTGTCGTTCTCATTTATGGTTAGTAGGAGGTTCCTTTATTACTCTTTCTTCCCTTCGTATTATTACTGCTATTTTTGCTTTCTGTCTTTTGCCTCTAAAAGCAGCCTGGCAGACCTTCTCAAGTAAATACCAACCCTGTTTCTGCAGCAGCCTCAGCAGCAGCCTAGTCTAGACAGGGTTTCCTTCTTTCTGTTTATTTTTCTTGCTATCAGAGCCCTGATGTGTACATTTTGGAATGCTGGAGTAGCTGCTTCATTTTTATTCCTCCATCTCCCCTCCCTCATTGAAGGGGCTGGTGGAGCTCGACCAGATGTCTAACAAACCCCGATTGCTGGAGTGTCTGGCTCCGTACGTGACTGACCAATCCTAACACGGCATGCCAAGTTTTTTTATACCTCTGACAGCAGCGTACAAAACCTGGACTGTTTCTTAGCACAAAGATTTTTTTCTTTTCGGCCTATTTAATGGTGTTTCCTCAAGCTCTCCAGACCAGATGTTCTGTGCTGTATCAGAACTGTAGGCAATTTAACAGCTTTATAGCCCCCCCCCCAACACTCACAGTTTGCCATATCTGGCAGACTTGCATATAGTTTCCAGCTGAGAAGTAAATGTAACGTCCTGAGTATCTGTCAGAAAAAATACTAATGAATACGATCAATCTTATGAGCTGCCCCAAAATTGTTTCAGTATGTTAACAATTGGATTACAGTAAAGAACAAGTTGTTAAAGTGTACTTATATTGGCTGGAAACATTGCATCATCAGACCTTGATGAATTTTCCACTTGTTTCAATCTATTTTGGTTTTCATTTTATCACCTATTGCTAAAAGTTTCACTGTGTTAAGTTTCAGACAACATGAATGTTAACACAGGTTTTAGGCGAATATTGGCACGCCAGAGCCGTTATCGTGCAGCAAGTGCTAAGCTCCCTGACTCGTGGAGTGTGTAAGCAGTTCAATTTCGAAAATTTGATTTTTCTGAAGCTAAAAAGACACTTTTGTGATAACACTTTTGACTTGGTAGTTTTGCTTTTACAGTCTGCTTTAATTAAGAAATGTGAGCAGTGATTATGAGGGTGGATCAGTTTATTTTCAAGGCTATTCGTTTTAAATTAGTTGACTGAATTATACTAGGGCATACAGCAATTTTCCATGTTCAGTATTCATCGGTATTTTCCTCTTACACGAGATTTATAAAATATGTATTTTATTCACAAGACGATAACTGTTTCTAGCTGAGGAATGGATTTGAAAAGTTCTTAACTATATTTTGAATCTTCTGTTTTTATTTTAGGGAGGAAGTTATTCTAAGTAAAGTAGATCCCTACAGCTTTACTTCCTGTTCGCTGTGAATGGTTTGAATCTGTTTCAAGTTGTGTTCTGATTATTTATTTTAATCGTTTTGCAAAGATGCAAGATTGAGTAATAAGTATCAGAATGTGCCTAGAACTAGTGTTACTCGAATACTGGTAGTGAGAGAATGTTTAGTAATGTCTTTCTCTTTTCCTTGTTTGAGATCCCATAAAAACTGCGCAAGGGTCTCTCTCGCTAAAGGCATACAGACTGACTCCTAAACTGATGGAAGTTTGTAAAGAGAAGGATTTTTCCCCTGAAGCGTAAGTGTTTGGGGGCCCATGGGGCATATGGTAAAGCACTGAGTGTTTGCTTTTAAGACTTCAGTTTGCCACATTTATTGAATACTTGTTTGTGCTGTAGTAATGCTTTTTCCATGTGGACTGTAGCAATTTTCTGTATGCCTAGTGCCACTTGATTTCTCCCTTTCCATGTTTAAACTGCTCTTTAGTAGAATGTCTCATCTGTTTTCAGCAAGAGTGAATTCAGTTAGAGACGGAATTAATTCTCTACTGTATCTGAGGGAGCAAATGCTAGAGTAAAGGGAGAGTGAACGAGTGGTCAGTGACTGGCAGATTGCGAACTCGGTATCAGACTTGCAAGCTACACGTCTTATTTTCTGGGCTGCTCGTGAAGAGGTGGGAGGGATACATTTGAAGGGTTTGTGAGTGATGTGGCTTTGCAGAAGTTTGCTGAGTGATACTCGGAAAACTGATGGAGCTCTTATGAGCTACTCAATGACACTGGACTATATACATTTAAAAAACTAAATATGTTAAATTCTATTTTCTGTGAATTGTAGAAATTTTTGTTATGAAATCAGAGTGGCTTTGACTTTGTGTAGAACAGTTCATCTCTGGCTTTCTATTTGTCTCTAAAAAAATTAAAGTACGTAGTTTTTTAAAAGGACAGCTGACACATGAACAGCTCCTTGTTATGGAGTTACTCCTGAACCTCGAGAAGCTGTGCTCTGCGCTGTGCTGTGTGGAGCCTGCTGTGACTGTTGTAGTTATTGATTTTTTAGTCCCACACACTTTAAAAGCGAACCTTCTAAGAAATACAGGATTTTCCTCCTAGCTATTTATTGTAAATGTTTTAGACACAGATTGTGTGGCATAACTGTGACATTTCTGTGTTAATGTCAGTGAAATTTTAAGGTACCTGATAGCAAAGAATGGTTCTTTTGCTAAAAAATTATTTTCTGGGCTTATAGTTCATATTCAGATCATTTTTAAAGTTAATAGTCAAATTACTTGATTTCTGTTTTATTCTGTAAAGTGTAGTGTCTCTCCCTGTATTGTTATTATTTATTTATTTACTTATCAATTATTATTATTATTTTTTTTTTCCCGGTACCGGGAACCAAACTCACGACCTCGCACTTGCCAGGCAGGCGCTGTTCCTCTGAGCTAACTCACCAGCCCCTTCACTGTATTGTTTTTTAAAGAATACATGTGAAGCAAAGACCCTGGAGAAGGCCTGTGATTGAGTAGAATGTATGAAATAGTCAAATTTAAGATGTTGACCACTGCACTAAAGTATTTTTAACATGCTTCACAGATTGAAAAAGGCAAGTATCACCTTTGAGCACATGTTTGAAGAAGTGCCGATTGTGATTAAAAATTCACACCTGATCAACGTGCTGATGTGGGAGCTTGAGAAGAAGTCAGCTGTAGCAGATAAACACGAGTTGCTCAGCCTTGCTAGCAGGTTAGTGGCCTGCCTCATGGGCCGTACCTTTCTTACTGTTCTTGGAGAAGATTATTTTGCATAGGCTTTTCTCGTGCAACAAGCAAAAGAACCCACCTAAGAACATTTTGAGATTTCTAACATGTGTGTAGCAACAGGTCGCTTTTGTCCAGCCCTGGGAAAACCGCAAACTGATAAGTGAGACACATTTGAGCACCGGTGCTACTCGTACACGCCTTCTTTGCCGTGTCTCGCACTTCAGTGTGGTGAGTGCTGTGGAGGAGGCTTTTGAAATTTGGTTGTGCTTCGTTTGTTGTACACTGCCCCGAGAGGCTGCGGTGCTGTGTCCGCATATCTCACAGTGCGCAGGCGGACAGAAGTGTGTCTTTCCTGTCCTGCTGCACTTGCCGTTGTCCAGTGCAGTTCTCAGTAGTAAACTTGGCACTATCTGAGGGCCCAGCTAAAGTGAGAATTCTGACCCTGGCTTTTGCCGTCTCAGACAGTGGGGACATAATTTCCTCCCCTGCGACTGCTTTAGCCATCTAGTTAGACTGCTGTATTCCAACACGTCAAATGAGATGTTCCAGAACATTGTCTTTATGAAGTAAATTGTTATCTTCCCCTACATTTCATATTCTTTTTCTTTAAATAAACCGAAAAAAGCCACCTTTACCTCCCAGTTCTAGGGTGGAGCCCAGCTGTGGCACATGGTGGTGGGCATCTAGCCCTGAGCCATACCCCGGGCCTGGTCTCTGGCTCGTAGCAGAAGTGCGGACAGAGCCACGTCCGTAGCTCCTTTAGAATCCCCTCAGACTTCTTGTTAATGAGTTTTTGTGGTGAGAAGAGCTCAGAAGCACCCTCTTAATAGAAAGTGGAGAGAGTGGGTGATCAGTCAGTGTGTTTGTGGCTGCAAGGAGCAAGGTGTATTCTTGCAAGCCACTGGTGTGAGCAGAAGTTTGAATGTTTATCAGACTTTTAGTTACCCTGGATAGAAACATACAACAGAGGAGCATGCAGACATGTGCTTGCCCCATTTGGGACGAGGGAGACGACCCCAGAGGCCAGGGGCCACGTTCTCCTCCGTGCCCTGGCCTGGGAGGGGTGTGCTGGGGGAGTCACCTTACCTCGCATTAATTCATCACGGAAGCCACAAGAAAGCCCTGACTGGACAGCGAGGGGACCCTGAATGATGAATGGAGTGCTAAATGGCACAGCCAGATTGCAGGCTTCTTTGGCACCAAAGAGGGTACTGTTTGACTGCAGACATACACGCATAATAGTCCTTACATTTCTCTGTCGTAGAGGGTCATATTTTTCTTCACTGCTTTCACAAATACTCCACACACCTGTATTTAAAGCATTGAGCTAAGAACCTTTTTCAGCATGTAATGCTATAATTTGATATATTAAGTATGTAGTTATATAATAATATTAAATTTACTACATAAAAGCTTTTGCTTACATAATTCATGTCTTCACCTTTTCCCGGGCTTCCTTTATTGACATACAGAGCAAAGATAGCCCTTACGAAGCTTGAACTTTACAGATGAGCTGATCTGAAATGACCACTTGTCCAGAGCAGCAGTTACAATAGCCAGGAAGGTGTTCCCAGCTTTCCACAGCAACTAAAATTGAGAAAGATATCCTAATATAATTTTATCTTCTGTATTCTTAGGTGGAATAGGAAGAGACCCTTTGCTGGCCCTGTGAAATTACTTATTTCAAGGGCAATTGGTATTTCTTTAGGGAGAAAAAAGAAATTACAACAGTCATTACACTCAACAGTGCTTATACTCATAGACTGTTACCTGGAGCCAAATTGATGAAGCTGTTTCAAAAAGCTAAAATGTCCTTTTGTGCATCTTAATTTTAATTTCTAACATTACTAATGTGGTAATCAGGACAGTTGCCATACGTGGCTTGTATGTGTGAAACTTCATCAGGGATCATTCTTCAGTAGCTCCTTAAACATTTTGCTGATCTTCTTCTGTGACCCATATGTGGGTACCAGTTCTTTGAGCTACCTGTTGAATTTATTCTATCTATGAATAATGCAAACTATATCTGCTTTCGTATTTTCAAAATCCTCTTTTTTTTTGTTTTTGTTTTTGTTTTTGTTTTTCTTCCAGTACCAGGAATTGAACTCACAACCTTGCGCTTGCCAGGCGGGCGCTTTGCCGCTGAGCTAAATCCCCAGCCCAAAATCCTCATTTTTTATCTTAATTTTACTACATAGAAGTTCCAGTGATGGTTAGTCCAATGACAGTCTTTATTAATGTAAGAAAATGTGCAACACAAGCCCTGAGCTTTTCACACACAACAAACAGTTTGGTTTTATTTCCTCTTTTTACGAAACGTAAACTCCAGTGAGTGTCTTACACTAAGCAGGACCTGACTATGTGGCCGGGGCAGACTTAGCGCTCCGGGTCTTGGCTCACATCTGTTTGAGTTATCTGTTTGCAGTCCTTTGTTTCCCTGGCAGTAAAAGGCAAGCCCGTGCTATCGAATGCCTGGCGGTAACTCCCTCTGGTTGCACTGGTACTGAAAGAGATTCCCCCCAAGTTGTTCTGAATAGCGGATCTGGCTTTCTGTGAGTGTTGCCGTGAAGTAGTTATATATTGAGAATTCCTGGTGCCCTTCTGGGCTTACACTGTGCAGATATTTTTTGTATTTTTGATTGACTGGTTTCTGAAGAGCATTATATAATATAATGCTTTTTTCCCACACAAAAAGTTTTAAAAGTCCGTACCCATCTGCTTGTGGCAGTGCCTTTTCACCGCACTTGCGGCACAGCATTCGTCCGTGAGAGACGTGTGGTGGGAGAAGGGGGTGTTTCAGCAGTGCCTTTCTCGTAGCTCAGGCTGGCGTGGTCACTTTGCAAAGTGTAAGGACCGGCAGCGTGTGCTGGACTCTGCTCCGCACGTGCCTGTACCCTGCTTCCCATTCTGTCTGCAGCTGTTGTCCCGTCACCTCCGGGCCGCCGGGTCCCCATGATCAGCACGCGTGCTGTGCACGTACGGCACAGGGCACGTGGCTGAGCAGTCACGTTGCTGATGGCCTTTCTCCGCTTAACCTGCTCTGTGGCCCTCAGCTTCTTCATGGGTGACAGTGAAAGATCTGTCCCCTGAGGCCAACCCTGCTCTGTCCTTCCCTCTGGAGATACTGTTACTCGCTTGAGCTGCTCCTCCTTCCTCAGAGATTTGCAGTTCCTCTCTCTCGGTCCTTTTGTGTTATCTTTATTAACTTGTTTTTCCCATTAATTTTTTTACATATTCTACTCTTCAGACAATTCAAATAATAATACAGTGAATGCTCACCCATTAAATCTTTGACTTAGATTTAACAGTTATGTGTCTTGTCCTAGACCACCACCACCCCAGCTATGTGCATAAACATTTGCCTTTTCACTCTGAGCCACGGGAAAGGGAAAGGAAGTGGGACACAGGACTAAGTACTTAGCTGGCAGCCCCTGAAAATGAAGCCTCCCTCATCTTGAAAAAACAAACTTTTGAACTCACGCTGTTATTATCCAGCTTCTTTCACCTTCTGCTACATTTTCTCCTCTTTTTGTGGTTAAACTTACTGGTAGAAGTTCTCGGCACCGTGGTGCTTAGCACACTCGGCAGTGGCCCAGGTCCCAGGAGACTTCTTACACCAAATCCTGGGGTGCGAAGCAGCACCAGCCTCTACTACTGTCGACACCCGCTTCTTCCTGGAATCGTTCTTTCTTGTGGTCTGTGGAAGCACAGCTCTTAGATGGCTTGTTTATTTCTCGGTGTTCCTAATGAACCCTCTTTTGCTCATCCCTAAGTAGAACTGTCTTTCCTCATGTGCATTCCTGGGCGATTTCACGTTATTTCCATGGCTTTTGTTACCTTAGCCAAAGGCCTCATTATTTTTCTCCCTGATTGCTTTTACAGTCTCCTCACTTCCTGCTTTCAACCCTTCCTTCTTTCAGATTTGTAGTGATCTTTCTCAGTGCAGATTGGATGCTCATGTTAGTCCTTTGCCTGCATCTTTGGCTGTTCCCCATTCTCCTTGGAGGACAGTCCAGGCTTACCGTCCGTGCTTCCAGAACCCTGCGCTAGGACTGTCGTCTGCCCTGTAATTTTATAGCTCTCTTTCCCCCAGTCTTGCACGTCTCCTGTATTCCTGGTGACTGAATTGTTTGCAGTTCTCAAATTCCTCGTACTTTTCACGCTAGGGTCTCTGCGTGTACTACTTGTGTCCAGGGTCTGCACTGTCCCTTCCCATCGGCCCCGTCTGGCCACGCTCAGCTCCTTTTCAGAAGCTCCATGTGGTGTCACGTAATCTGGAGGATTTCACCTGATTCTGCCGACCTTTTTCTATGCTTCTGCTGTATGTCTGGTATAGTGCTTACTGCCACTTGGTTAATGTTTATCTAAGTGCAGCAGTGTCTTGCACAGTTTAATTCCTAGTCATTCTAACAGAATGAGTAGCAAAATAGTTATGGACTTACTGTGTGTTGAAAGAATAAATGTGAGGTGCAGTATTGATAAATTTATTTCTGAAGTTACGTGTAAAGTGATGTGACTATCTAACCAGTAGATCTGGACAGTCATTGTCATTCAGTATCTTGCGCCATATGCCCAAATATTTGAGTCTGGCAGATTTAAATCAGACAATCAAGAAATGAGAAAACGAGGGACAGTAAGAACTTACCTGGTGTCCAGAGAAGAAGAGATGTTTTACGGTTAAAAGTACCTTAAAAAATTACAGTGGAATAAGAGACACAGGAAACACAATTTAATTTCAAAGAACTTGACTCATAGATAAGGTGCTGCCGCTTTGGGATTAAAAGGTGAATTTTCTCCACACACACACTATTTAAGAAAGAGCCCAAGTGTTACATTTTCCTTAGTTGACAGGGGAATCCGTATTTTAATTGGATTTGCTTTCATTCATTCCCAGTATTTCCAGGCTGTTTTGTCACCAGTCTTCCCTTTTCCGTACCTGTAATATCTCACTAGCTGGGGGGCTCCAGCCGGGAGACTGAGTGCTGCCCTTGATTCTTTTCTGCTATTTCTTAGCAAGTAAAAATTGCCAGCTCTGCAGAATATCGCTGGACTGTCTTTCAACTCTGCTCCTTTTTCTCTGTCTTCCTACCGCCATCCTAATTCAAGCTACCACTGTTTCTGTCTGGAATATTGCATGAGTTTTTTGTCTTTTGGAGAGGGGTGTACAATTTCTAAAAGTTGAGACACAACTTACCATTTAAAATGTACTTGGCAGTTGTTTTTGGTATGTGCATGAAGTTGTGCAACCATTGCTCATTCTGGAACATTTTCATGACTTCAGACAGTAGCCCTTTTCCATTAAGCACTCGCTGCCCGTCCCCCCGTCCGCTGACAGCAGCTAGTCACTTTCCCTTTCTGTTGATCTGCCTGTTCCATTCATAAAATAGACTCCTAGAATAAATGGCCTTTTGTGGTAAGCTTCTTTCTTTTAGGATAGCACTTTTCGGGTTTACCCATGTTGTAACATACTTGAGTACTTCAGTATGTTTATGGCCAAATAATACTCTGTTATGGATATACCACAGTTCGTTTATCTGTCCGTCCTTTGAGAGATGTTTGGGTTTCTACTTCCTGGCTATGAACAGTAGTGTAGCTGGTGACGCACATGTACAGGTAGGTCTGTGTGACCGTCTGCTTTCCTTTCTCTCGGCTATGTGTGCATGAGTAGATTGCTGGGCCTTACAGTCGTTCGTCGAGCTTTTGCAGGAGCTGCCACACTTTTCCGCAGCAGCTGCGTCATTTACATTCCCACAGTGTATGAGCTTTGCCTTTTCCACGTCCTTGCCGGCCCTCCAGATAGACCCTTAACTGACCTGGATTTCATTTTCAGTCTCTGCATAGCAGCAGTGCGCTCATTTTAAAACTGAAGCCATGGCACGTACAACTCCAGGGCGCCGTCACGGTGGAGCTGCGAGGTCTCACGCGTGGCAGGCACACTGCTGGGAGCAGCACAGTGCTCCTGGGCTCCCTGACGTGGTCACGGTGACCGCTGCGCTCACTGTGCTCCAGCCAGACCGGGCCTCTTGCTTTTCAGAGTCAGCTTTCCGCGCTTACCCTCCCCAGCCTTCGGCACTTGTACTTTCTTTTCTCGGGGGTGGTTTCTGTCATAGGCAGCCTGCGTGCTGGAGCCGTGTCACCTCCCATCTCCCATTCTCACGTCCATCGTTACAAGTCCAGCACAGGTGAAGTGAGTGGGGCATCCTGTCTTCCAGCCAGCTGTTGTGTGTGTGTGTGTGTGTGAGTGTGTGTGTGTGTGTGTGTGTGTGTGTGTGCGTGAGTAGTAGTAGTAGTAGTGGCCGTTGTCCACACTTTACCATGGTCAGGGAAGGTTGCAGGAGAAATGACTGGATGTGATGGTCATTGTATCCGTCATTACTTTATAAAGAGATTTTAGTGATTGTGCTGCAGTAGAAATTTCTAGAGAGAAAAGTATGAAAAGCCGTACTGCTGTAGATTCTAGGAAGAGTAGGAGAAGAGGCACCTCTTCACCTGAGTCCACAGGACAAACGCTGCTGGTGTTCTTTTCGATCCTGCTAGAAATGGTATGCTCGCAGCTGGAGTGTTTCCTGGAACTTTACTGTACATCGGGGTAGAGGGGAGCTGGTGGTGGTGGGGAATTGTTAAAGAAGAGCATTCAGGAGTACTGAACTTAAATTAAACTTGATTTTTTAAAAAAAATGTATATTATAGATGTCTCCCTAAGTATGCTTAATAGTTACTATGTAGCATACCTGTGCTTTCATAGTAAGAAACTAAGCTGTTTTACAGGCAAAGTTGAACAGCAATCTGACTCAGATTCGTTCCTCTGCTCTTGCCTTTAGCTCGCATTCTTTTAGCAAAAGGCAGGTCCAGTTAATGTATCAGGCTGTTCAGAGCAGTGGCGAAGCGGTGGCTTACGGTGTGGGTGCCATTGTGTTGATTTTGCATTTCAGCAGTCACCTGGGGAAGAATCTGCAGCTGCTGATGGACAGAGTGGATGAAATGAGCCAGGACATAGTGAAATATAACACGTACATGCGGAACACCAGCAAACAGCAGCAGCAGAAACATCAGGTCTGTATTGTGCGGGAGTTCGACACAGCCATTCTTAGGTGCGATGCTTCAAGAGTCCTCTTCACAGTGAACTGAATTATCTTGGTGCAACATTGGCTGTTAGCTAATACTCCATCATATTTTAAAAGATTATTCTTTTGTAAAATATGTTCTATTATTTATACCTTGCATTTAAAAGTGTCTGACTGAAGAGAGCTGGTATATTAAGTTCAGAGTATAACATCAAGGTTATGCAAATAAGATACATTTATTGCAGAAATCAGAGGCAGAGAGTTTCCTGAGTGTCACAGCTCATTTCTTTACTAACTATAATTGGTTTCGTAGTGGCTCATTGCAGCATAGTTAGCAATCTTCAGTTCATTTAAAAAAACTGAGCAATTGTGATTAAGAGCAAGCAATTTTGATAGGAAATAATAGACCGACTGCTGTGAAGTAGGTAGTGTAACACTGACAAAAACCCTAGAGTTACCCGCGTATTCTCACGCGGACATACACGCTGCTGCGGCCATTCAGCCTTTTCTTTACCAGTGTTGCCCGAAGACCACATGGCTCTCACAGCTCCTGGAGTATGATCTATGCACTGTATTACTTTTAGTATTTGATTCATACATAAAGTAATTCCAGAATATTTTTCTGGGAAAGTGGTATTTACATATGAATACTATTTATTAAAATGTACTTTAAACATAAAATTCTAAATAAACTGATTCTAAGAGTATTGTATGTTAAAGAATTTTCATGATCAGGGTTCATGCATATAGTGAAATTTAAAATTCTATTTTTGCCATACTTGAATTGAAAAAGCATGTAAATCTGTACAGTCCCTTTCAAACCGGACATGTGGTGGATGCAGATCTCTGATAAACTTGGGGAGAGGGGGTCATCCCAACTTGATTTCCTTCTCCTGCTGGCTTTACCTGTAGGTAAAGGATTCACTCAGGGCATCAACTTGAGTTATCCGTCACCTGAGAACCAGTTGATTATGGAAACCAGTCTTCTATTGAAACTTTGTAGTCTTTTTTGTTTTTATTTTTATTTTTGGTCTTTTTGAGACAGGGTTTTCACTATGCAGTTCAGGCGGACCTCGAACTTGCAGTAATCCTCCTGCCTCAGCCTTCCAAGTGCTGGGAGTACAGGTGTGTGCTATCACGCCTGGCCACTTTTCAGTCAGTGTATTAAAATTTTGCATTTGACATTTGTTCATAGGTACAGCATCATTTATGCCTTTTAAGTTTGTCTTTTACTTTCATACTCTATAAGGAGTAAAGAAATCTTCACAAAGCAAGTTGCTGTCCTTCTGTAGGAAAAACTGTCACTGCCCTTAGTTTTCATAGGAATCCAACGACTTAATTTTTACTGTCCCATTTTGATTTCTCATTACTCGGCCTTTCAGGAGTGTGTGTCCAGGGTGTTACTTCTGCTGCTGTTGTGAGCCATCTACAGCTATTACCGTTTAACTGTAACTGACGTAAATGGCTTTCTAGTTAACCCTGTCTTTGTGTAGTTCCAGCTTCTCTTTGGCGAAGCACACGAATTCAGAGTTTGAAAGCGTTTGAAGCATCGTCTGAGCTAGTTTGCACTCTTAGCTGCAGAGGTAGGCACAGTTTGCTGGTAAGAGTGGTAATGAGAGTGCGCACAGTGGGAGTAGCATCATTGCTGTTGCGGTGATGTGAGGTCAGTGGAGATGGAGTCGAAAGCATCGCCTCGGGGCGGTTCATTACGTAGCTGCTGGGGTTAGGATGACCCATTCACTCTCGTGCGAGTGCTCACGTTCCTCCTTTGCTTGCTCGTCAGAGCCTGTGAAAGCCTCCTCTTCCAGAAGCACTTTGGTTTTCTGAGGTGTTAGTTAAGAACAGGGTGACACTGGAGTTTACAGAGAAGGATTGTTTTTCTACTGTTCCTACATTTAGCTGCTTAGAAGCAAGTTGCCAAATATTACCACTTACAAAACTAAGATTGGAATTCAGAGCCACAAGATTTTGCTGGTTGTGTAGGAGGTTTTTTTTTGGTCCACAGACAGAAAAATCACCAACTCATTGTCACTTTGCATTTCAGTATCAGCAGCGTCGCCAGCAAGAAAACATGCAGCGCCAGAGCCGAGGAGAACCCCCGCTCCCTGAGGAGGACCTGTCCAAGCTCTTTAAGCCCCACCAGGCCCCGGCCAGAATGGACTCGCTGCTCATCGCAGGTGGGGTTTGCCAGCGCAAGACAGCTGGTTTTCTCGCTTTTCCGCAAGCGAAAGACAGCAGTTTGCAGCCAGAAAAGTAGTCCATAGAAGTGGAGATATGTACAGTGATTGAAAAATGAGTTTGAGCCTAGCAACTCTAGATTCTGAAGTTTGTTAAGTCTCAGTTCTTTCAGTGTTTTGCGGAGTGTGTTTTTTGGCATGGTATTGTCAGCTTTCTAAAGTGGAAATGTTTTATTGAATCATCTTTCCTACAGAAGAAAAGTTATTTACAGCGTCATAGTGCAAAAGATCATGTAGCTCAAGCCCCTGTTCTTCTACTGCTTTAGCACTGTACGCTGAGTACTTGGAGCTTCTAACTAGGAGAAGATAGCAGTTCTTTGCCTTAAATTATGACAGCAGGAATGCAGTTCTGGATGAACTTCCTTTGGGAACTGTTAGCATTTGTCATCACCTGTCCTACTGCCTGAGGTGGTTTTAGTGTGTCATATCCATGCTCTTAGTTGGCTTGTTTCTTTAGAAATATTGTATTGTTTGATTTTATCAGCTGTCTGAGAAATTTATTGGAGTGAAAAATCTCACTCAAAAGTTGATCTTCCATAATTTCTTAGTTCTGTTGATACATTTTTTAAGTGGGTGAAAAATGTAAGTTCCTTAAAACTTTCTAGTACACGTAGAAGATAGGTTTGGGAAACCAAGACACAGTTCTTTCCGTAAGCTGCAGTCCAAACAGAAGTGCAGTGCCTCTGCTTTCAATAGAGGATTCCATGTGAGACACACAGAGTGAAAATGGAGCCCTTCTTCGCGAGGACTCTGCTCCTGCTTGCATGTGGCTTGGGGGACAGCGGCTTAGAATGAAGACAGCTGTGTACTGTTGATATTCGGGTCAGGTGGATCCATCTGGTGTGCCGTTCTGTGACTGTGTTGCTGTCTCCTTTGAGCCTGCTAAGGCAGCCGGTGCTGTTTCTCTCAGTTGTCCTCGTACACCATTGTTCTGACCTGCTGTGTCCTTAACGGCTGATAACCTTTGAAAAGTTGTAGTTTTCCTTCATTCTCTGTATCGTCAAGGATGGAAGATAACTTCTTTTCAAAAGACATTATAATCTTAATTATGCCTTATGGAAAAGTAGAACAGTTCTTAGAAATTTTTAATTTAAAAGACAATACTGGTGATTTCTGTGTTCCGGTCTTCTTGTTTGACTAGAGTTGTGAGTCATGTTACCATTTTGTGGAACATCATGGTTCTCTTTTTATTTCAAACATGCAGGCCAGATTAACACGTACTGCCAGAACATCAAGGAGTTCACCGCCCAGAACTTAGGCAAACTCTTCATGGCTCAGGCTCTTCAAGAATACAACAACTGAGAGGACATTTCCAGAAGAGGAGTTGACGTGGCCTGCTGCAGTCACAGCAGGGCCGCACTCCAAAGACATAGATTTCTATATTGAAAAGCACAGACTCTTTAATGTCGTTGCTATTTTTGGCTGCAACATCTTTCTAGCCAGTAATAAAATAAAACACAGTTGTGATTGCTTGTTGATGCAGTTTTCCATGTGTCTTATCTAGCTTATTTTCATTTTGTTTACGCTTGCGCATTTCCAGACAGGAAACAAGGGTTGCCTGATGCAGACTCAGGGGCTCACGACACTGCGCCTCTTAGGCCCCATTTTAGCCCCAGGGACTAGCACTGTGCTCCTGCTCCCACTGCAAACCCCAGCCCCTGCTGTGAACTTGTAGACTGCGCTGCTCCCGAGGGCTTTCCAGAAGCTCAGGCTTCAGACCTGAGGGACCCCTGTCCCGAGGGCTTTCCAGAAGCTCAGGCTTCAGACCCAGGGACCCCTGTCCCCAGCCGGCTGGGCACACCCAGGCTGCTTCCCCAGGCACCACCTTCCCTGGTGATGTTCAGACACCACTGGGCACAGGAGTTTTAGAAAACTTCACCAGAACACTGTATTTCATATAAAGATGAATTACTTCAGATGTGTTACTTCTTGTAGGATTTCATACTTACCTTTCCATAGCTGAAGCACAGTTCAGCTAACCGTGAGTGTTACAAGCAAGTATGAAGAAATGGGGAGAACAGTAAGACATTGGAAGAAATATTTTAACAGGTTTTAAGTTTGAAAGGTTTTTGCAGATCCTTTGCCTGTGTAACACCCATATCAGTGAGATGTCCCAACTGGTAGACCAGTCATCTGTGAGCTCACAGACAATGGCCCTCTCTGGGGATTATTAGAAAGGGGATGCAAGGGGCCTGGAGAGTTGAGAACACGCGCTTTCCACATTGTCGTGACGATACCGCCAGGCTTTGGGATCGGTCAGCTGGGTTGGAACGAGTAGCTTAGCTTCCTACCCTCACTTTCCCTGTGCAGATGAGATGAGAAATGAGAACAGTATTTTATTATAGATTGGTTCTGAGTGCTAAAGAAGTTCCCTGGGAATTGGGATAAAGCCCACAGGAAGGACTGGTTGGCAAATAGCAGGCACTCACGTGCTCATGATGAGGGATATATCCTAGGCCATCCTCCCAGGGTGTGAAGTGATTGGATTTTACTTTGAAAAGCGGATGACTGAACATTCTAGAGTCCAAGTATTTGCTCACATAGTAATTATTTGCCTAGGCTAAATTCCTAGAGTGGACTTACTGGTCAAAGGGAATGTAAATTTTAAGGCTTTTTACTTAGATTCTAAACTGTCTTCAAGAAAGGTGGGTTCCACTGGAGCTGGGGAGTAGCTCAGTAGTAGAGCACATGCCGAGCATGCAGGAAGCCTTGTAGGGAAGAAGAAAAACAGGAATGAAAGATTATTTGAGTCATATCATCGGGACGGTAGTAGAAGGGATATATTGATAAACACAACCAGCCATGGTTTGCTCTGGTGGACTGTATACTCTTGGTTTTTTTCTCTGCATTCTGATTGCCTGGACTTGGAATTCTATTGCAGAGCTCAACAGAGCATCTTGAATATCAGAGAACAAAATAAAAGGAAAGAGGATCAGTTCAAACATAACCTTAATTACTGTTTTTCTTACGGTGTGAGATTAAGTGAACAGAATTGATTTTTTTTAAAGGTGTGATCCTTTTTATAATACCTTATGATTGCTTAGATTTCTTTGACTTGCTAATATGTGGATGCATACTTAATGGATGATTTCAGTAGTTTTTGATTTAGGAATTGTGGGAAAAACTAGGAAAACATGTCAGTGGAAATTAAATTGCCACAGTATGTAGTGCTAGGAAATAGCTTCTGTTCGGCATTTGATTTGAGTTCTGTATTCTGACATTTTTCAGAAACAGATACGTGTGGTTCATCTTCTATAAATATTTACAGTTTCTTCAAGGTGAAATGAGAAAAGCTCATGAAATGAGGACCAGGTCTAATAAATCATTCACTTACCTAAGAACCAAAAGACAGGGATAGCCAGCATATTCATCTAATGGAAAATTGAATGTTAAGAACTTAGAAAGTAAGACCTATTTGACACTAATCGTTTGTAATGCTTTATAAAGTAATGGAAAACACAGCATTAGTCTTAATTTAAAATGAAAATACCTGAGAAAAACATATCCAGGCTTCTCACAGTACTTTCTTTTACATTTAATATTTCTTTTGTAAATTGTGTGGCTGGTTATGGTTTGGATCTGCAAAGTCTCACATGGTAAAGTGTCGGTCCCCAGGACAGCAGTGTTTGGGGGTGGGGCCTTGGGAAGTGATGGCCCAGGAGGGTTCTGACCCCCTCAGTGGGGTGATCCATCGATAGCTTCAAGATATGATGGGCTGTTGGGACGTGGGACAGAGTGAAGGGGGCCCTTGGGAGCTGCATCTTGTCCCCAGACTCCTCTCTGCCTCTCTCCCCGGCTGCCGTGAATCCTCTGCCATGATGTGTCTGTCACCACAAGCTTAAAAGCAAGGGCACCAGCCAGCCATGGACTGACACGTCTGAAACTGGCCCAAGTAAATTCATCCTTGTATGTTCTCAGGTACTATGTCACAGGAATGGAAAGGGACTGAAACAAGGGTGAGTTACAGTGGTACATTTTTATAAGCTACAAAATGATGTTAGGATTTTTGAATCCAATGTGACATGACCAAGCCAGCCAGCCCATCCACCACCTCAGACATGTCACATCTTCCATGATGGGGACATTAGAGATCCACCCTCCCTGCAAATTGGAAGTTACATTACTCACAGGGTAGGTGACTCACCACAGTGTGTAACATTGCCTTGTGTCCTTCAGTTACCTCCCCATTTTTCTTATTCTCCAGTCTTTGGTGACTACGAGTTTGCTCACTGCTTCTCTGATTTCACTGGCTTTAGATGACAGCACAACTGAGAACATACGGTATTTGTCTTTTCGCATTTTGCTTGTCTCACTTACTGTAATGCCCTCTGGTTCCATCCATGTTGGAAACGACAAAATTCTTTGTAAAGGCTAAACAATACTACATTTTATATCTCTGCCACATTTTTTCTGTTCATCCACCAATGGACACTTAAGTTGGTTCCGTAACTTGCTGTTGGGATAATGCTACTGGGAAGATGTCTTCAACATAGGGATTTCAAATCTTCAAAACACCCAGAAGAGGAATTGCTGGATCCTTTATTATTTTTTTTAATGTCAACGTAAACTAGAAGAATTTTTTTTTCCCATTTCTGGAAGCTAGGAAATTGAGATGTGGTTATCTAATGTTAATTAATGGGGCCTTACAGCATCTAAATATTTAAATTTTCATGTATTGTAAAATATTACTGGATTGTTCACACTATGGTTTTGTGATGTCCTTTGGAAAATTGTGTGAGTTTTGCTTTGAAACCATGCTGCATTGAACTGTGCTATGTGTGCTTGTTAGATTATTGTGAAAGAATTATTTTTAAAATTTTACTTGTAAATCCTATTTTTTTAGTAAAATTTTCTCAACCATGTGCCAGGTTTTTAATTTTCTTTTCTCACCAGGCATCCTTTTCTGTGACAGTTCTACGTGTTTCATCATTTTCATTGCACCATTTACTAAGAAAGTACCACTTACTTAGCATGTTACAAAGACAACAGGACCCAGATTCTGTTCCTTGGCTTATTAATAGCTGCAAATTCCCCACGAGGTGAAGGGTAGTACCTTGGAGAGTGTCTTGGGCCCTTCAGTCCTTGCGGAGGACTGGCAGCGGTTAGCAGATGGAAGGAAGGGCTGGCTGGGGATCCGGGCCTGTGAATGTGTAATGTCGGGGAAATACTGCGTGGGACCCATATCACATAGTGTTGCCGTGGAGGAGTGAGAACCAGTTACTGGACCAGGACTCCCATGTCGGCCCTGGAACCTCTGGGTGTGTAGGAATAGGTTGATCTCCAGATTACTCAACACAGAGTGGGGAGAGAAGCCAGAGCTGCTAGGAAATAAGTTTGTTCAAGCAAACTACTGTGGCATAATATCCATTGCCTTGAGCCTTTCTGTTGTAAACGCAGGTGGACACTCATAATGTACTCGAAGCCTGTTTGGCTCTGCAATTACTGGCAGAATCCAGGATGACCATGCTAAAACCTCAGTGGTAATTTTAGGGATGCAGTCTATGGATGCAGGAGTGGTCCCAAGAGCCAGCACTCTCAGCTTGAGGAGTTTGATCCAAGGAGTTCTTTCCCTGAGTGACTGCATCCTGCTTGTTCTCAGAGGCTGTTAAACCCTCACTTTGATTGCCATGGGATCAATTAGTTAGAATCACGATTTGATTCCACGGGGTTAGAAGTCGAAGTCAGTTGCATTTTCTTCCAAGTTAGTCATCCTGCTTTCAATCTTTTCATTGAATTAGTGACCAGCAGTCTGGCAGAGATTGAATATGGCTTCAGAGTCTTACATAAGTATTCCCTGGAACCATCCTTAGTTTAGAGGATAGCAGAGGAAATATGAATTCACGCTTACTGTAGAGTTTGCTGGAAGTCTGCATGTAGGCTTCAGATATATGCTTGCCTTCTTTCCCTGTGCATTCCCTACCCTCCATATAAAAAAGAAATTCTGATTCTCCAGTATCCTGTGAAGGGAAGATGATGTTTTCCCTTTTAATTCAAAGACTAGTGTTTCTACATTGGAACAGGAGCAAAGGATGCTACTATTTTTTCATCTGACCTTTAATAATGCAAAGTGGTCCATTTCCAAGTGACCTTATTTAAAGTTGATTGCAGGAGGAAAATACTCTTCTTGCTGCCTTCTTTTTTGTGAGCCTCAAGACAAACTCAGGTGTCACTTTTATTTCCTTTAGTGATATTTTTTCCCTGACCCTTCTCCAGGACTCAGTCATTTCTGGCATCTTCCATCTTCCTTTGTGGACATGGAGGCCAAGGATTTGTTTAACTTTGGCAGTGTTTACCGTCTCTGGCGGTAAATGATCCTTGCCTTCTCTTGGGCTCTAGTCTCTCTTGCCAGTGTCTGTCTTTGTATGTATTGGAAACGGTTCTTATTTTGTCAAATCCCTTGGGTAATCTTTCCCTACCTTTGTTTATCTTGTCATTTGGCTTTTACTTGTTTAACTCATTCCTAATTTCAATCTGCCTA